TCGCCATATCCCCCACCGCCATCGTCGTCGAGATGAAGTCCTGCAGGAAGGAGGGCATATCCATCGACAAGTTCACATCCATCGACTCGCAAGACCCGGTATTCCAGCTCGTGACCATGGCAGCCTCGTCGACCACCGTCTCACCCGTCAAGGAGCTCGTGGTTGTCCTGGGAGTATTGTGCAAGCTCTCGACGGACTCATACTCCTGCCCTTGACCCTGGGGTACCTGCAGGCCATCGTTCTGGGTTGCCACATGGATCGTATCCATCGTCCTTGGCAAGTTTTCCGATGTGCTTGCATCTGTCTCCAGTTGATTGTTTCTACTACCTCTATGCGACTTCCTTTTTCCGAAGTCGTCGTCGTCGTCCGTTTTAGCAGCTCCACCAGCGTGCTTGCCGCAACATCCGCCATGCTGCTCACCTCGGCAAGCATCTTGAGCCGCTTGACAGCTCCTTCTACAGCCTCCATACAAGCTAGCCTATTGACCATGTGTATGTTAGCCTGTATTGGGCCTACCCGGGGTGTGATATTCTGCTGCTGCTGCTGCTGCTGCTGATACATGTTCAGGCAGCTATCGTCATCCGGAAACGAGGGATCCGCTCACAAGTGCAACAGCAACACAGCTGCCTCAAAAGCGACATGACGATGCCGGGAAGTCGAGTATGGCAGTCTCCCAAGAGTGCATGCAAATACGAGACAGTCTCGAGTGACCGCAAGCCGCACTGGCCATACCTCTCTTCTGGGATCTCAGGAGGAGTATCTTGTAAAGGGGTAAGGACAACGAACTCGACGGATCCCAAAACAGCAGTGGATGAAAGTTCCAAGGAAGATCTACGACTCCTCATCGACAGTCCCAGGAAGTGGCTCAGAGCCTTCTGCTGCAACCGGCTACGATCTGGGTACCCTTCAGGTCACTCTCGACTTCGACTTCTTCCAGCACGTACCGGCCATGGGGATATTGCAGTTGAGGATCTGGCCAAGAAGGCAGGCCTTGATGTGGACCGTACCAGCCGTATCATCCGACAGCTCAGGACCTACAGGATCTTCGAGGAGCTACAGCCTAGAAGGGTTTCTCACAGTCCCTCCTCTCTCTGATTCAGCAAGATGAGCAGCTCCGGGCCGTCGTCCACTACTCTCTTGATGAGATGCTCAAGCCGGCTGCTGATTGCAATGTGAGTCTCAAGGCCAACCCTTACGAGGCGCACCAAAACCTCAACCCCTTCGTCACCAGACATGGCGTTGGCATCTTTGAGTTCTACCAAAGAAGTCCGGAGAAGGCTCGGCGGTTCGCGAAGGCTATAGCGGGCCTGAGGAAGATGGACTCCTATCTTGACTACTTGCTCAAGGACGGGTTCAACTGGTCTGCTCTCAAAGGGACCGTCGTTAATGTCCCTGGTAAGTCTTTGTTTCTCTGCCTCCTCTTGACTCATGACTTGGTCTGACACTGGAAACGGATCTACCCCGATTTGGACTTCATCGTCCAGGACCCCAACGCCGACATGCTCGCTGAAGGCAAGGAATCTCTCA